TAGCAGAAGTAACCATACAGTAAGTGAGAGTGGTAGGCCTAGTCATTAATAACACCTGTGAGTTACACTTTGTTTTGTTTCTGAAGAAGAATCCAATAAAGGTTCTTCAAAACTGCCACCTGGTGGTGAAGTCTTGAACTACAACAAAAGCTACACCTCTCTCTGTAGCTGTGAGGTGTCATGCTACAATATTGTGTTTAACGCATGTGCACTGGTATAAAGAACGTGTAAGGTTTAATTGAAAAAAAATCCTCATAATAATTTACACAAACGTCTGTTAAGTAAATTTAAATGCTACAAATTCATGTAATATTTACTCATCATTATCTAGTAAAAATGATCAAGAATATAGTTAAAGATTTGTGAATAAATCAGGTAAATTTTACTTAATTTGATCAAGTATATGTTACAAGATTTAATTGAGCAAATTAAGTAAAATTTACCAGATGTATTCACAAATCTTAAACTATATTCTTAATAACTTTTACTAGATAATGAGTAAATATTACATGAATTTGTAACATTTAAATTTACTTAACAAACATTAGTGCAAATTGTTACAATGATTTTTTCAAGTAAATCTTACACGTTATTTTTTTACAGTGTGGACGTTGGTGGAAATGCTGTTTTATCACTGTCCACTCAGAAAACATCACATTTAAATGGGTTTAATAAGCAGCTGTTTGTCTCATTTAATGACATTAGTGCAGAAAAGTTGATCTTGTATTAAAGACCCTGTCACATTCTAAATTTGCAGACAACTTATACCAATTTATGAAAATCTGTGCAACACTATAGATGGAATAAAACAATCTATCTTTTAGACGTGTAGCTACATACTGCAATGCTAAAAATTGGATTGGCAACATAACCTATATGAGTAATTTATTCGTGACAAAATTTTCACAAGTTGGCATGAGTAATTTAATATGTCATATAAAATGTTCCTGAACTGAAGATACAGTCACCGTTCTGCACTACGTCTTCATCATTCTTCGTCTTGTCTCTTTTTCTTATTAGACTGAAAAAAAGTGTCAAAGGTTGCTTCAAATGAGAGCAGACAGCTGCACGTAAGGAGCTAATGAGAAACAATTAATTTCCTACTGTCCTCTGCTGTATAGTGATTCAGAAGATTGTGCATCATTTCATCCATCTTCCACTGATGGAAAGAATCTCACCTTCCTATCAGTTCATCAGCTCTGCATTGAGCTGAAGGAGAGGAAACAAAGACATCTTTGCCAAATGGTTGACTAGATATTGACTTCTATTCACACTGCAATGGAAAGCATTTTAATTAGATTTGTGCAGATTCAGTTAAATATTGGTGTTTATGTATTCCTGTGCCACAGCTCTTAAAGTTTATTTGTTATAAATTGAAAGTGACTGGGTTATGATACATTTTAATATTAAAACAGAACAAAATATGANCCATCCATCCATCATCCATCATTCATCTATCCATCCATCATCCATCTATCATCCATCCATCATCCATCCATCATCCATCCATCATCCATCCATCCATCCATCCATCCCTCCATCATCCATCCATCCGTCCATCCATTTATCCATCCATTTATCCATCCATCATCTTTTACCCACTTCTTCCTGTCTGGCTAACTAACATCACAGTTTAGATCAGGGATGGATTCTTCATTATTGGAAGGAATGGATTTTAAGTTGACACTATCAGAGGGCGACAAGGCTCTGCACACTTACTCAAATGTAATAAAACTGTTATTTTAAAAATGTTTGTTTATTAAACCAACATACAGTACAGTAACTTCACATATTAAATACAGGTATAACAGTTGTACTCTTGTTTAATAACTATGAATAGAAAACATTTGAAGCAAGCAAGAAATAAACACTTAGTATAAGAAGCTGGAGTATAACAACATGAGACACCTTGAGTCAAACGCCTGTGTGGTTCTGGTAAAAAGTCTCTGTTTATGTACATCAGTACTCTTCTCATATTTAGCTTTGTGCAGCGTGTTGTAGTGGTGACTTTTATTCAAACCCTTTATTTCAGACAGCGTCTGTACGTAACTAAACACATTAATTCTGTGTAATAGTCTTCTTCCACTTTCACCTGTGATTTTCTCTGTGCAGTTTTCTTCTCTTATGGCTACATGACTCACCATCAAACCTGTTTCTGTGGGAGGAAACTAGAGAAAACCCATTGGTGCATGAGAAGAACACATAATCTTTACACAGAAAGTTCTACAGCTGGGGTCTGCACTCATAAAACGTGTTGGATTTACTTAATGGAACCACTTGACAAATCTTAGTTAAATAAATCCAGCACATCTGTTTTGTAGATGCACTAACTGCACCACCCTGCAGCCACACAGAAAGTTTACTAATATTTGATAGTTTGAATTGTTTTCAGAGAGTGAGGCCTGCACAAATTATTTTAGACCACTCAGAAATCCTTTTACAGTTTAATGAGCTAATGCACTGTTTTAGATCAAATCTGATTCAGATACGTCTTTAAATATTCATGCTGGTAATCAGGAGCTTCATGAAACTTGTTGTGTTTAGGTTTACTGGAAGCAGCTGCTGTGTCACATTTCTGCACACAGAAACTAAACCAGACAAGTCAGAGGGGATTTAGGTCCAGTTTGTTAACATAAAATGTCAGTCTTGGCTTCCACACAGTTTAAAAAGCTATATAATCTGCATAAAATGTAAAACTGATGAAGAACATTGTGGATTCACTTGAACTTCCACCCTGGAACAAAAACAGAAGTAAAATAACAGTCCTGACAGTTAATCAACTGTTTTACTTCAGCTCTAGACAAGAAAAACAAGCGTTACTCAGACATCAGTTCACTGACAGAAAAATGAATGGTGTGGAGATGTTTCTGACAGTGTTGTATAAAGTACCACAAAGTGATACTTGAGTAAAAGTACAAGTATCTTACCAAAAACT